CTATTTTTTCCATTTGGAAAGCAGACTGTTTTTTCCTCACGTATTATATATAGCATGAGCTATTTCACATTGCAAACTTAAAAACAAAGAACTTTGCATTTAATTTTCCAACTTTAATACCTCCAGTATTTGTACTTTTTTGTACAGGACTTTATGAGACTGCAGGGAACTACCGTATCTGGTGCTCTTTGTACTGCGTTTCTTGTCCCAGTAGTGTGTAACACACTCAAGAACTCAGCTTTGTGCCACAAAATGGAAATTAAATGCATAAAAAAGTATATTTCACCGGGGAATAAGAATTGATGTAACTTTCAGGATATTCTGAGTATATGCTATAATCAAAGAGAAGCCTGGATCTCATTGTGAAGATAGGTTTCTTTTAAACATATACATCAGGCTAGATTTCTATTTTTAGAAATGCTCTTAATTGGTGGTCATGGGGGGGACCCCCCATTTTTCGGTTGAGCAAATAGCACAAGCTGCTTCTTCTCTACCTCACAGATTAGGGACTAAGCAACATACCAATAGCACTCGTAGGCGCTAAATCAAATTGACACGACCTTTCACCTCTTCCAAAACAAGCCCCATCCTTAGAGACCCCAGCTGTGCAGATATAAGCAGCAGAAAGCCCCTGGAGTAACTGCTCTTGCTGTGCTAGTTATCTGTTTCCTTTCACAATACTCCTGACTTTAATCTACCTTTGATGGTACTTTCAAACAACGTTCAACCCACAGTCACCACTCAGATCCCTCAGTGAGGTGTTGTGTCAGAACTATTCTTTCCTCATCATGTTATTCTTTTTTTTTTTTTTCAATTTATGCACCTGGCTTCCCATTAAGTTACACCAGAAATTAATTTGATCTCCTGTAACTTATTTTCAAGTCGCCCACTATTTAGGCAGGGCTAGAAGAATATTCCCATCCAGTTTCTGAAGCATCTTTTACTGATTCTGCCTTTTTCCTTTAAAAAAAAAAAAAAAAAGGAAAAAAATAAGATGATGCTTCTCACCTGAGACTAATTTACTGTGGTAACAATGCAACAGCAGGCAATACGTTCTTGAAAGCAACAGTTCTCTGCTTAGTTGATTCAG